ATTATTTGTATGATTATAGTCTTAGCCGGGGGGAAGGGGTGTTATGTCCTGAGCCTGTGAAGGCAGGCTCGGGGCATTGCAACGGTCCCGGGCAGGTGCAAGCTGCCCGGGACCAGACTGGCTGTCGCCAGCACTTGCGCACATGCGCAGAGTGCAAGCGCGCCAAATGTTGCAGTTTGGCCCGGAGATCGCCTATAAAAGGGGCAGGGAGACTTGGGCGTTGTCGGCGTCTTGTAACCAGTATGCTGAACAGAAATAAAGAGGTTCCTGAGAACTACAACTACTTCTTGCGTCATTGCCATTTCGCTGAGGACTTAACAAATAATATTTAGCAAGAGACTGCCAAACTTCCTATACATCAAATGGTTTAGGTTTTCTCTGAAAATCTCGACAAACACAGTAGGTTTTAACAATTAAATTATAATTGTTAATTGATACGGTATTTGCAATCTGATTTACCAATAACTCGCATGGGCATAACCACACTGTTTTCTTCCTCCTTAACCCCTGTATAATTCTAGTTTAAATTCTACTTCATTTTAGCTATTGCATGCCTGTGCTGAAGTGAGCTGTAGTGTGAGGACTTTTAATAAAATTGGTTTGCCTGAAAAGATGGCACCAGACTCCTTCTGATTTTTGGCTACCACAAACCAACATGGCTCTTCTTCTGCAATCTTTACAATGATCTAATTCTAGTTTTGTCTCTCCTCATTATAGATACTATTATTCCATTTTTTTCTGTTCCCTCATAATTTTTAATATTTGCATTACAATATTATATTGGGTAAAATCTTCAAGTCCATACCATCATATTTTCTAAATCTTTTTTTCTTTTGTTTAATCTCCAAGAATTCCCACATTCTAGACTCAATACTTCCTCCTAATTGCCAGGGTCATGACATTAATTCCTTTTTATTTGCCTTTGTGAGCTACCTTCTGTTGAATATATGTGCTCATCAAAATGTAGTTTCCCGCTACTCCCACATTCTAAAATACTTGTATCAATTGGGAAACTCCTGATAGTCACATAAGGCTATTCTTGGATCATCAAGCTAGCAAGGAAATGACAGATTATGACAACTCCCCAGTGAACAGTGCCTAGGCTTTTAAGCTTTCGGAAAGCAGATGGATAAGTTTATGTCCCTAGCCAGCTGTCACTTCTCCTTTGTTTATTTCCATGATTTTCCTTCTATTCTCTTCCTAAGAAAGTCCCTCCAAAAGTCACTAATTCATGTTAATAGTCAAGACCTAGTGCTCTCTCATCCAGCTTTCCCATCCTTTTGTGAGTCTTTGTTGCTGTGTTATTTCTGGGAACATATGTTTACTCCTATTCAGAGGACAGAGAAATTCTGAATAATCTCACGCTGTTACAGATTTGAGAAAATATGTCTATCTATACACATATATATATGCAAGAAAATCAACTAACAATTAGCACTGCCAGTTAAAGTACCATCTTTAGATGCATTCTTACATGTATATATTCTTATTAATAAATGGCATTTTTCTCAAGCCTATTGTATATTGTTACTTGTAATAACAAAAATGCAAGGGAATAGAAAAAGCTCAGAATGCTTTATGTTTCCCCAGAAACCTCCAAGAGAGTTAGTTACAACACTAAGATATAAAAAGGCATACGTAATACGTTGCTCTAATATTTCTTAAATATAAAAAGGGGAAATATATCATTTATGTATATAAAAAGAGAGCTAACAGTTTAGAGTTCCATAATGCCATCTCTAAGTGCAATATGCCGGCCACAGGACGTAACTAATTTGAGCAAGTAGAGTAACTCCAAGGTATATTTTACAATTCAATGTCAAGCCCTTCAGAAACCCATGGATTCGCATTCACAAAATCGTTTTTGCTTCTTTTCTGGTGGTTCTTGTTTATTGAAAAGAGGATGGACAATATAACTGTACAATCAATCAAATACATATACTCTCAGGTTCACTTTAATAGCTTATATATTTCTAAGCATCCTAGATACTAGCTACCAATGTCCAGAACAGAAAACATAGAGAAAAACGGGTAAGGGGTACTTGGGTCTTGACCTCAGAGTTCTTGCAAATGAAATTAATTCCTTTCACCGGCATAAGAATTTGCATAATTCCATCTTATCTCCTAGAACTGGACAGGGGAAATGGAATGAAGTACCAATGTCTTCAGGTAGCTTGGATTATATGCCACAATAGTTGAAAAATACTTTTAATATTGCAATAATTATCTGGAGTTGTTTGCTTAGTACAAAGGAATATTAATTTTCTCTCACTTTTTGGAAATTAATACTAGTTTCTTTTTTCCCTTCAATAGTAGGTGTATTGCTAGTATACAGTATGTTCATTTTTCACATATCTGTAACTAGATTATACATGCATAAAAATGAATCTATGACTCTAGTTATTCGGATGCATCTACTTTGTTCCCTTAGCAGAACAAAACAGTTAAACATAACATTAAAAAGGCACAATCTCACTATCATCCAATTTAAAATCACAATTAAACAGCTTCAGTAATTGAATGGTCCATATGATTTAAAACAAGCATTAAAAATCACGTTAAATGATTATTATATCTTACTGCTTAAAAATAATGCCTAAAGCAGGTTAACAAAGGCCCATAAGAAAGAAACATTTTAAATATCTTTTAAAAATCTGACAGATCAAACACAAGGTATAGAACTAGTGGAAGCTGATTCCATAGGACTGGCACCGGATGAGAAAAAGCTCTCAACCATAATGAGATTAGTAATATAAAAAAGACTGTTTCCTCTGGTTAGGCAATTGGGTAAAGTGAGAACAAGCACTATTTCACTGTATAACACCCAGTGAGTTAACGCAACAAATTAAAACTGGTACTATTTGTGAATACCCAGCCAGATTTGGCAAAAAAAAGAGAGAGCTTCCATTTCTGCTGTGCAATAGCAACCTACCCAGTATCATTATATACAGCATAATTTTTTTCTTCTGAAGTTGCCCTATACAGGGAAAAAAAAAAAAGACCGTATCTTTTTCCGAAGGTTAAAATAAGAAATAAGAACACTCAATGTTTGTAACCATATCCCACTGACTTTTATTTGGTCTACTGAATGGAAAAGAACCAAACACGGAATACAGTAAAATATTCAAAGCAAATTATAACAACTATTATGAAGGAGAATGATCAGAGTCTGAGAAAAGACCAGCACTAGAGCTTCTTTCAGATTACTCCTATAAAAGTAAATATTAAATGCTAGTTTAATAGGAGGAAAAATTCCAATAGGGTGGAAGTGGAAGATCAAAGAGATGGCTAACTCATATGGACTATATTTCATCACTACAAATAACTCAGTAAGTTTGTACAAACAAAATAATCAAAATTCCACAATGTTATAATTGGAATTGTGTAAACATAGGAAAGAAAAAATCCAGGAAACTGGCTAAATGTAGCTAAGGGTTTAAAGAAAAAAAGCTCTAGAACTAAATACTTGGAGGGAGAATATGGATTTTGTCCAAAACAGAAGCAAACCAAATGGGGAGACACAAAGCCTTCACATAATAGGAATTATCCAAATTAGATTTGTCTAAATAGGACAGATGTTAATGATGTCATCAGAACAGGGTTCTACAATGTCAGCAGTTCCTGTGCTAAATAGCACCTGCCGTGCCAAAGCTCCATGATGCCATCAATAATGTGACAGTTGCTGCTGTTTTTATACAACTGATGCAAATCTGAAAGGAGCCAATATATGCTGCTCCCTCCAAGTCACCTGCAGTTAATGTGTGTGTGTGTCTCTGTGTGTGTGCACATATACAGAGAATTATCAGTTTCCAAAGTAGAATTTCTATTTTTTCTAATTTAGATTATAGGATTTCCCTAATGCTGTTCCCACAGCAATTCCCTGGGTTCTTTGATATCGGTGACAATATATTGTCAACACACAAAGCTTCAATTAATTATTAAAGTCAGAGGTACTGTGAGTTTTAACAAATAGTATGTAAATTCCAATTAATGAAAAATCAACCTATAATGAAGACCCAGCTTAAACTCCACCATTAAATCTTACATTTCTGCCTAATAGACCATAGCTATGACAATTTTTCAACAAAACCTTCCTCTATATGCAGGCCTTACTTGGCTTCCGCTTACTTGGAGGCCTTTCCCCACTGCTGAGTATCCCCCCATCCTTTTAACTGGCAGAAAAGGATAATAACAGCGTGAAATTCCCACTGCCATGTCGAGCTTAGATTGCCTCTGTTTCATCACTGCAATCATCTGGCCTCCCTGAGATAACCAGTGACAAAGCCTGTCTTTGAATGATTTGAGAGCACTCTTGGAAGGTGCTAGAAAAAGGGGCTCATCCATTGTGCTAAAGATGACTTAAGGCTGCTCCACTCAGTCCTCAGTAACAAATCTGAGCTGATATAACTCAATCAGGAGGGGGGGGGGGAAATGTTCCCAGGACAGATTTTTGCCAAGATTGAGTTCAAGTGGGAAAAAGCTCTTATTTAATTAAACCACCTTGCTTTCCTAGTGGTAGAAACTGCTGTGATTATTTTCTTTCTGCCATTTACTTACAAAACTATCATAATTTACTTAATATTTTCTTAGGCTTTTAGGAAGAAGATAGCGGGATGGCACACCTTGGTAACAGACAAAACTGAGGGAGAAAAGTAGCAGGACAGAACATTTTGATTATGGGCTGAATCAAGATGTGGTTCTGTCCTGCCAATATCCATACTGTACTTACAAGATTTTCATAGCGAGGAATGGTAGAAAATCCTACCATTATATTAGTTCTGCATAGGCAGGGATCTCAAGAATTTAGGTTAAATGACCTGTAATCCAGTCTAGAATAGCAAAATGTCTAAAGTAGTATAAGGATTCAAACCTTACAGTATTTTAATCAAATAAGCCAGTATCTACTGCTTACAATATATACCACTAACTACATGGCACATACTTCCATAGATTATAAAATCCTAGATCAGGATTAATAAACTATAGTGCGAGATCCTTACCTTTCTGAGGTCATTCAACCCATACTCAATGGAGGAAGTCAAAACCTCAAGGGCCTGTAAATAAAATGAATAAGGCAAATATTTTGTAATAAGCCACATCCTTTATGTTGTCAAAGATGAAAAATTGTACCTAAATTTTTTATTTTCTAACTTTCCAGCAGTATAAAAAATTTCTATGTGATTTCATCATGCTTTGAGCCTTTTCAGTGTTTATTTTGACCTTCTCAGAAATGCTGTATATTGTTAATAGAATCACAAATTATTCAGACTGATATCTTCAGCATTGTTGGGAGACACTATCTCTGCCAACTATGCATTCTTTCTAACTATATGATCATTTTTTAAAGGAAGGGAAAGAAACCTGCAACTTTCATCATTCCTCAGCAATCAATATGCGGGCTTGATGGAAGCTGTAGCTCAGCAAAATATAATGAGACACAAATTGCCCATCTTTATTTTAAGATAACATCTGCAGATTTTAATTTACATATTCTTTCAGCTCTTCTAGTGAACAGAAAAAAATGGTAGATGAAGCAGATTTAATGATACATTCTATTTTCTGATTTGTGAAAGAATACTTGAATTTCTAGGGCCTTGATGATTTCAGAAATGCATACTAATGACTTTGCATTCCGTAATTCTGGACAATTCACTCTGAAGATTCTTGTAGATATTAAAAACCAAGGGAAGCAAATTGTAGATTAAAAAAAACTCTATAAGGGTAATTGGTATACATTGAAATAATCAACTTGATACTACTTCTGCCACATATGTGGGAAAATGTACCTTTTTGTTTCCAATAAGTGAAACTAATCACTACTAACAAAAACAGAAAGAGAGATCCAGGATAATTAATAGGATGACATATGCTCCACACATATGTAGAAACAATATGATAAAGGTAATATCTGCCCCCAAACCCAACATCAATTCCATATGGATGGTTATCTTCATCCAAATAGGATCTTCTATTGCAGAAAAGTCCTTCATACAAGTGGGCTTCGCAGATGACACAGCTGATAGTGGGAAAGATAAAGTTGCTGTATTTCTGAAATTACACAGTACAAATGAAGAGACTAAACGCTAATAAAAAAAGTGACAGCTCAATAGGAAATTTCAGATTGACTGGGATCACAATGTCTAATTCTCTGTCTCCAAGAGACTTTCCCTCCATGCTAGTAAAGGAAAAGACAGCCTTACATGCTGAGTGTAGTTTTGAAACACATTATTCAAAAATCATTTTATTGCTTTCTTATATCAGAACTGTGCCAGTGATTTTAGGGTGGCTGCCAACAATGTTAAATTAGCAAAAAAGCTAAGCAACAAGACTTATTATCTGGAAGCTCTTCAGAGTAGTTGCTTAAGCCAGCATTCCTGCACAAACATCCTTCTTCCTTCGCATCTTCAACCAGCTTCTCTATACTACAGGGGTGATAGGATTTTAGAACTCAAGATTCTGCAGTTCAACACTCCATGGAAAAGATTTGCTTCAAATATTAAGAATTGTTAATATGAATGAAATTCAATGCTCCTATCTTTCACATATCACTATCACAAAGGCTGCATCCAGGACTGAGTCTTCATTCACATTACGTCATTGGGGGGGGAGGGTTTGTTGTTGTCACTGGAACTGCAGCACAGATTGTGCACAGTGTGTTCCTGCTTTTTTTTTAAATCACACTTGTATACAAATTTTTAAAAATACAAATTGTGGACAGATTGTGATAGTTGCCATACACGTGACAGAATTTTCTTTTTTTGGGGAGAAACAGCCAATAAGAAAAGATAAGTAGTTGTGAGGTGATAAATTTGTATTTTGAAAGTCTAGAGCTGAAAAATATAACCACGTAGAAATAAAAGCAAGCATAAAACCAAATAGAAAAACGCTGAGCACGCAGATATGTAAAATGGCAAATCAGGGGAGTATAAGTGCATAATTTCCTTTAGGAGAAAAAAAATAAGAGATATAAAACTTGGCTGATGACTAAAATGAGAAAATATTCTCTGCATGTTCAAAGAAAATATGGTAATGAACTTTCTCGAGCATAATTCAAAAGCAGACTAAAGATGTCCCCCCAAATGGAGACGAAACGATTGCAGCCAAATCACCAAGCTCGGAGATCAAACCAACAGCCCAACTACCAACCCAAACTACTAATATTCAAACACATCTCAACGGTAAAAAATCATATATGTTGCACATTACAAGTGCTATTTGGACACATCTAGAATCTTAGTGTCAGTTCTGTCGATTAAAAAAGTCTATTGATCATTCACCCACCAGGATATCTAACTGATTTTTTCCAGGCCACTAATTCACCATGGCCCAAATTATCATCTTCACATTAATTTTTCATTATCATGTGTCTAATGCACACTTCATTGTCCTACTGGAAATATCTAAAGGTGGTTCTTGGTAAAAAAAAAAATATTTAAAAAGACAATAAAAACAGCAACTTCATAGTTAGAAAAGACTACCTAATATGAACAGATTTCCAATTTGCAGAATCAATCAAAATCAGGAAAAGAGAGAAAAAAACAAATGCTTTTATGTGTCACTAAAAAGCTTACAGAATTTCAAAATTCATCTATTTCATCTTACAAACTAATTAAAAATACCGCTGACTAATTTTAATTATTCTTCCATCCATTTCTGTGGAAGCCCAGCCAGTAGTATAAGTTATACTTACCGTAAGATTGTTGAGAGTGACACCATTGGTGTACAGATACTCAATGACTGTAAGGAACACTTCTGGCTGTATGTGATTCAACATCAGCGGGACTTGTGTCTCATGGGGCTGGCTTAGCATTGCATGGAGAACTTGGCAGCGGGTGGAGAGTAGACAACGATGGGCAAAGACTTTCTGCTTCTCTTTGCCAACCAGAAAAGTTACATCACTATAGGAAGAGAGGCAACATAGATCTCAGTATAACAGAGTTTAACTAGCTGAGATGGCTCAGCTTCTTAGCCTGTTCTCTCTCTCTCATCTTTCTTTACATGCCTCCTTTTGAGAGTCAACATGCAGAATTCAGATGACCTTTGGTAAAGCAAGTGAAACCAAGGACTGAACTAATTGAGAGCACATTGACACAAAGATGTATTTAAATGCAGTTCTAGATTTCTCTGATCCTGTAACATCAACAGTGTTTGACTGCTGAACCTTGTTCATTTATGTAATTATTTAACACTTTGGTCTTTCTCTCTCTCTTTTTTTTAATGATGAAGCTTTTGGCAGTTTTAATCTATTTCCCCATTTGCAGGGATTTCCCCATTCCATATTCTGGTCTTCAGGACTTTCAAGGAGAAAAGTGGCTTGACATTTTTTCAACACCTATTATAAACTATTAGTTATGTGGGGTTTTTGAGAAATTAGAACTGGGGTCCCCAATGCCCAGTCCGTGTACCAGTACTGGGTTGCGGCATGCCAGCAACCAGTCTGCACAAACAAGCAAAGCCCCATCTATAGGATGCAGGCAGCACCCAAAACCAAGCACCCTCCGGTCCATGGCAAAACCTCTCTCCATGGAACCGGTCCCTAGTGCCCAAAAGGTTGGGGACCTCTGCATTAGAAAAATCTCTTGGAAACTATGATGCCTTGGGCATGTAGGAGGACAGCAGTCCCCCCCCGAGAAATAAATATCTTCCATTGATAATAATAATAATAAAGTTGGAAGGGACCTTGGAGGTCATCGAGTCCAACCCCCTGCTCAGGCAGAAAACCCTACACCATTTCGGACAAATGACTATCCAATCTCTTCTTAAAAACTTCCAGTGTTGGAGCATTCACCACTTCTGGAGGCAGGTTGCTCCACTGGTTAATTGTTCTAACTGTCATGAAATTTCTTCTTAGTTCTAAGTTGCTTCTCTCCTTGATTAGTTTCCATCCGTTGCTTCTTGTCCTGCCTTCAGGTGCTTTGGAGAATAGCTTGACTCCCTCTTCTTTATGGCAGCCCCTGAAATATTGCATTTGGGGAATATTAAAAAAGTAGAATATATTTCCCCAAAGGAATAATAGAAAATCTTAGGCAGAAACCACCACCCCCCAAGCAGAAACCAGGTCTGTAGAAATACAGATCTGTTTACTTTTTGGATGGCATGCCTATCTAATTTTTAATAAAAAGGTTGATAGGGTTTTTAAATCTCATATTATAAGGATCTCTTTACTTCGGGTTTGGAGGAAATATTATAGAAGTGATTTTAAAATTCCACTATGGACCATACCGGGGCATGCGATAGAAAAGATAAGGAGAGGAGTTAAGATGGATAGCGTTTCTTATGTACAATTACTTAGATGGGATGGTAGAAACTGGCAATTAAAATCTTTGGAAGATTTAATACAAGAAAATATTATTTACTCATGGTTTCATTATAGACAAATAGTGGAGAGGTGGAAGATAGATCGTAATGTGGGTTTGCTTAGAGAAGATGAGAATTTATTAAAACAAATAAAAGATCAAAGACGAACCCATATTAAGAGAATCTATGGGGTGTTAGTAGAATTGGATTCAGAAGCAGAATTAGTTAAAGAATGTATGGTCAAATGGGCACAAAATTTTGATGAACCGGTTTTATTAGATACCTGGGAAATTATTTGGGTGAGGAATGTTAAATTTACACAAGCCCAAAACTTAAGGGAAAATTTTTATAAAATGTTTTATAGATGGCACCTTGATCCACAAAAAATGTCTCGTATGTATCCTGACTTACAGCCTAAATGTTGGAGATGTGGATGTTTGGATGCTACTTATTATCATATCTGGTGGTCATGTAAAAATATAAAAGCTTTTTGGATTAAGATATGGTGGAATATCCAAAGAATTTTTAGAAGAACGGTAAAATTTACCCCACAATTGTTTTTGTTAGGTATTATTTCTGATTGTGATACTAAAGAGACTATATTGATGTTAAATTTAATTACAGCGGCAAGGTTGTCAGTAGGGCAATGTTGGAAGAAGGAATCTTTGCCTACCTTGCAAGAGTGGTTTTTTAAAGTTTCTTATTTGGCGGAAATGGCAAAGATTTCGGCTTTCTTGAAAGACCAATCGCAAGAGAAGTATTTTATGGTATGGAAAAAATGGATAGACTTTATACAATATAAGTTGGATATAAAAAAATATTATTTAGCTTTTCAATAACTTATATTTAAAATTTAAGATATTTTATAGACTTTATAGACTTTTCTTTTTTTTCTTTTTCTTTTTTCTTTTTCTTTTCTTTTTCTTTCTTCCTATTTTCTTCTATTTCCTTGTATTTTTGTCTTTTTATACATATATTATTGTTAACTATTTTACAACTTGTTTAATTAATGTATTTAGATTTGTTTATGGTTTATATCTGTTTTAAGACTTTTTGAAAATTTTTTAATTAAGCCTGTATTCAGCTCTGGGAAGGTCGGGGGAGGGTATGGGAGGGTTGGGGGGGCTCGGGGAAGGGAATTGTATTGTTCTGTAAAATCTAAAAACTTTCAATAAAAAAAAAGAAAAAAAAGAAATACAGATCTGATAATCCTATTCAGAAAGGTTAGAGCTAGGAAGCTAGAAGCTGATGAAATTAGAAAGACAAAGACCCCTAAAATCTACATACCCCACCCAAACTCTAAAAGACATGACCTTTAGGACATAATAGAATTAACCCATCACTCCCAGCAACATGTGGTCAGCTTTCCCAGAGCCATACTTCTGTTTGGCTCTGCTCTTCAAAAAACTACAACCTTTTCTAAAGTAGTCTCCATTTTGTTTATTCCGGGTTTGGACTAGAAGAAAGATAGATAGAAAGATAGTAAACTAAGAAAAGCCAATTTGATGTAATGGTGAAAATGCTGGCCTAGAAACCGGGAGATTGTGAGTTCTAGTCCTGTTTTAGGCATGAAAGCCAGCTGGGTGACTTCGGGCAGTCACTCTTTTTCAGCCCAATTTACCTCATAAGGTTGTTGTTGTGGGGAAAAGACAAGGAAGAAGTATTATGTATATTCACTGTCTTAAGTTAAAATATTAAAGATTAGATTAAAAAATCTAAATAATAAATAAAGTAATTTTGTATCAGTTATTTCAGCTGGGGGTAAAAGTATAAGAAAACAGAATCACAGCAATCAATAACTGGCTACATGGATGGTGTTGCAAGAAGGGTTTACATTATAAAACCTGAGGAGAAAATGTTTGCCAGATGCTTTATCGCTCTCATCAAGGCACTAAACTAAAATAAAAGATGGAGATTGGCAAAAACCAAAAACTGAATATCCAATCAAAGATTGGGATCAAAAAAACAGAATACAATGGGAGAAACATGAGGCCAGAAGAAGGACCCCAAATTTTATAGGATAATAATTCAACAGGGAGAAATAGACAATTTATCTTCTCTCAGGAAGATAGTTATAATGTGACAGATATCATTGAAACTTGGTGGGATGATACTCATGATTGGTACATAGTATTGAAAGGCTAGACTGTACACAATAGGAGGAGATGCAACAGAAGGAACGGAGTGTTCACTGAATACAAGGCAGGGGGGAATCTAGAAATTAAAAAATCAGAATATGTAACACCTTGTTGAAAGTGGGGATTTATTGAAAAAATAAAATGTGAGAAAAAAAACAAAAGTAATATCATAGAGCAGAAGTCCCCAACCCCCAGTCCATGGACCGGTACCGCAGTATGCCAGCAACCGATCTGCACAGACAAACCCCATCTGTGGGATGCAAGCAGCATACAAAACCACGCACCCACCTGTCCGCAGAAAAACTTCTCTCCACGGAACGAATCCCTGGTGCCCAAAAGGTTGGGGACCTCTGCCATAGAGGGAGTTTGTTATAGACTGCCTGGGCAATCAAATAAATAAATATAAATAAAATGCCTCACTTTCAAAGAGACATGCATCAGTGATAATGAGGGATTCTATTTTTTTATTTTATTTTTACATCTTCTGAGAATCTATCTCTGCCAAGAGTCAAAATTCCAAGAAATTCTTCTTCCCTTTTGTTGACAACTTCATTGTTAACAGGTAGAAGAACAAGTGAATCTAGTATTCTCGACCTAATCCTTACCAGCAATGAGGAATTGGTTAAAATTGAAAAAATGATCATATTATACTTGAATTTAGAGATTAAACAATTTAACTCAAGAAGGAACAAATTTCCTATTCTGCATCAGATAACAAAACTCATTGAATAGTCATGCTGCCTTCAACAAAAAGTAGCAAGAGAATACTAAATAATGAATAACTATAAAATAAGATTAGAACACATTGCAAACAGAAAAAATAAAAATGAGGCAATAACCTCACTACTGTAATTTAATGAGTAGAGCCTCAGGTACTTTCTGCTTTCCAAGCAGTGCTGCAGATCAGGCAGTTATACATTTTAGGATCATTAGATTCAAATGATCTGTTGCACCAGAAACAGTATCAATTATCATTATATCAGCGGTTCTCAACCTATGGGTCGCGACCCCATTTGGGGTCGAACGACCATTTTGTGGGGGTCGCCAAACAACGTGATCCGCCATTTTCCCCCCTCAGGGGGCGGCGCCGCGCATGCGTGGCGCGTCCGTGTGGCCAGAGGTCACCGTATAAAAAGGTTGAGAACCGCTGCATTATATAGTACCACTGAAGAGCAGACACATACAATCTGAGTATTGTCACAACAGCACCATTTGGAATATAGTCAGAAAACATGGATCAAGATAGCTCAAAAAAGCAAGACAAAATATTTTCATTATGGAAAAGGTAGAAGGGATCATTCAATATATGGTCTATCTAGCATTAACAGTTGGTTCTCATCAATGTTAATCATTATTCTCTTGAATGCTTTAAATAGATTGAATATCTTGAAAAGAACTGCCTTCTTAAAACTTTTACTAGATCACAGTTTAGGCCTTTGATCTTCCCACAGATTGGTATTTCATTCTTCTGTTGGCTGACCCTGTTGTATTCACTGTGAAACAGAGAAACAGGAAATTCAGCTATGTAACTTTTAACCTAAATCTAGGTCTAGTTATAAGCCTCTTAGCTTATAGAGACAATTGGCTGTCTATACCGTTAAGAGTTATGATATGACTTTAATTCCAAATCTAACAACAAACACACAATATAATAACAATCACACAACGATATTACCAATATGCAATATATTGCAAAATAATCTCAAAAGTACTGGAATCAATAGTTTTGTGTCCATAACATATAATTTATTTTTTTTCTTTGAATTTTGTATCAGTCAAAATCAAATTACATTATAGCATAGTCAATGCTACAGTACACTAAACACAATAAATACACTACTCGATTTGCCTCATCATGAATTACTGAGTAAACTATAACCATAGTAGCTAGATTTACAGTATACAATACAGTGTATTTTCTTTATTCTAAGTGACAGGCTTGTTCACCCCGATTGCTGAAAAAGCCTGCTACTTAGAATAAGGCATATAAATGATCTCTGGATACTAACATTGTAATTCAAATTCCCATTTAGGAAAAATGTATTAGTTGGTTTTGTCAAAACCCGATATTATAATTATAGATGTCTGTTTCCAGCAGCAATTACATCAAAATGCCAACATGTGCATCATCAAAATGCCACTCTTTTACACTTGTACCACAAGTACCTAAGAAATTGAGTCTGTCACATCAGAAAGCACATTTTGCCACTTGCTCTTTTCCTACAGACACTTGTGGTTATAGACATTTTTTTCCTGTCAAGAACAAGTGCTGTGAATAGATTAAAAGAGGTATTTACACATTTAACATACTGTAGTTTAATTGACTTGAAATAATTATCTAGGACAAAGTAGTAGCAATGATACTTGAGAGCTACTAACTCTCATATTTTAGGCTGTCAATGAACAATAAATTCATGTAACTGTGCATCGAATCATTCATGCTGAACTGTTGCAACATGCTCTACATGGGGCTACCTTTGAAGAGGATTCAGAAGCTACTGTTGGTGCAGAATGCAGCTATGTGGATTGTTTTTGGGGCCCCTAGAATGACCCATGTTGTTACATGAGTGCACTGGTTGCCAGTTTGCTTGGGGGGGGGGTCCAATTCAAGGTGTTTGTTATTACTTAAAAGCCCTTAATTGCATGGGTCTGTGTTACTTGAGGAACCATTTTACCCCAATGGGATGGGCTTGCCTGACCTATGCTGGCAAAAGGGACATGCTGGAGACCCCATCAGTCAAGGAATTCCACTAGTGGGTTGGGAAAAGAGCCTTTTCTACCATGGTTCCCACACTTTGGAACACTGCACCCCTTGAGGTGAGATCTGCACTTCTTGGCCTTCCATAGGGGCCTTAAAAACCTGGCTCTGACAACTGGCCTGGGCCCCCGATGGAAACTTGTCATACTTGAGTGATTAATGGACTAAAGAAGTTTTCACCTTCATCCCATTTTAATTTTGCTCCCATCCTTGCTACCTTTGTTAATTTTAATGTGGATATTTATGATCTTAATATTTTAATGTTTTATCTTGTTGTGTTTACTCTGTTGTAAACCACTTAGAGTCACCTCTAGGCAAGATGTATGGCCTATAAATGTAATAAATAAAAATTAAAATTTCAGGTTTCACAATGCATATCTGTAAAGAGATACTTTCATCCTCATTTCTCACAACAGTCTTTAAAACAGCTGATCCAAATCTTTTGGCATCTACAGGACAACTCTTTCAAAACAATCATGTGACTCACTCTTTCCCTTCCATGCTTACAACTAGAAAGATTATAAAATCAATGCTATTTTGAAAAAAGGAGGGCTTCCATTTCTTGCAAAGAGTCGTTTCTTTTTACTAAAGAAGCAGGGCCCAAAGGAAAGAAGACCACACGCACTATATGTGCAACAAGCAACCATTTGCCTTTGTATGCAATTTTACTGCAAACCCAGAATTTCTTTATAAACTGAAGCCACGTAGGCCGGAAAGAAACTCTCTTGTCAAATCAGAGACATAGTTGTGATCTGGAGAGATTCAAAGAACCAAGCACATTCATTGCGGTGCAAAGTCAGGGAAATTGTTTAAAACCACACAAAAGTCGTCTTGTTTCTTTGTGATAACGTATTAACTTTTCCAACAAGCCTAATGGAACGGGCTTGCCTTCCTTCCCGGTCACATGCTCATCCCTGCCCGTTCTTCGGGCTGATTCCCACGGCAGGCAGGCAGGCAGGCAGATTGGCTGGCACGCTTACCTGAACTGGGGGTTGTTGATGAGAGTCTTGAGGGAGGCAGCAAAAGCAGATGGATCCCCCAGCAGACGAACCGAGCCAGAGGCGGCGGCCATAGGTCCGCCCTGGCAGGGAAGGGCAGCCAAACACTAGCTTTGTGCGAGTTTCCTTGGTTTTGGTTTATTGGTTGCAATCGCGATAATACTGAGAATCGACACGGCTGGCTGGAGCCTCAGCGGCAAGGCAGGAATGCAGAGAAAGGCCAAAGAAGCGTAAAGCAACACTTCTGTTGCCGGGCAACAGGCAGCTGCCAAGGCCCTAATATCCAGCTGTTGTGGGAGGGACCACAAAAATATAGAAGGAAAAGGCTGTTGCAAAAACTGGGAAGGAATCCCAAGAGCAGGCTCAGAGAAATCATTCAAACCAGGGGTAAGGATTGTTGTAAAGAAAACAAATAGGCTCTTCTCCTTACCTGGGGAAATTGCATGTATGGGCTTTGTGCTCAGAACCAGCTCAATGTTTGGAAAAAGTTCGTGCTTGGAACTGAGGTATCATCTAACTGCCAACTATTCTTTCAACAAAATTAAAACAATACGTCTCTGCATGGAATGGGATGGAATTCCTGCGAAGGAATTTCATATTGTTTCCAGATTAGATTAGATTAGATTAGATTAGATTAGATTAGATTAGATGCCATCAAGTCAATGTTGACTCTTAGTGACCACATAGATACATGTTCTCCATGATGATCTGACCTTAGCCTGGGCCTTCAGCTTTTTCAACTATGCATTCATTGCCATTGTAACTGCTTGCTCCTGGTTATTCTCCTCTTCCCTTCTAACTTTTCCAGCATTAGAACATTCTCCAAAAAAATTAGGGCTTTGCATAATGTATGCAAAGTAGGATAATTTAAATCTGGTCATCTGTACCTCAAATAAGAATTCTGGCTTTTATTGGTTGTTTACATGGCTGTTCACAATATTCTCAAGAATCTTCTCCAACACCAAAGGGCAGACATGTCAAACAAAAGGCCTGGGGGCCGGATGCGGCCCACGAAGTGGTTTCATGTGGCCCGCGAAGCCATCCTGGAAATAGTGAGGGAACGGCCCCCGCTGCCTTGGCCCTGGCCCAGGCTGGCCGGGAGCCAATGTACAATTTTGTGGTGGGCATCGATGCTGAAATGCATTCAATCTCAGCTCTACAAGGCCGTCTAGAAACAGCGAGGAACCAGTCCCTGCTGTGTTGGCCCCACCCCCTGGGTGCATGCTGAGGAGGTGTCACCCTTTGTGAGGAATGAAGAAATGGACCATGCCTTGGCGCTTGCCCCAGTCCCACCCCCTTCTACCAGAGAGCCTTAGATCTGTCCCACTCCTGCCCAGGCCCCCACAAGCACCCTTGACGCGAACAATGTAGAGTTGGCCACGCCTGCCCAGTATGCCATACCCATTCCAACCACGCCCACACAGTAGGCTACACCCACCTTGGCCACACCCACCTGCCCCCCCCCGAGGGCAACCGCAATGCTGATGCGGCCCTCAATGAAATTGAGTTTGACACCCCTGCCAGAGGGGCACATTATACATCTATGTGCAAGTTAGGTCATGCTCATGCAGATCAATTTTGGGAATGAGAAGGTAATAGGATGTAAATGTAACAAACTTATTCACCCCTTTACTTTGTAGTAGCTCAACAAATACAGTAATGTGGAGGGGAACTATTATGAGAGAGCAAGTGTTTAGAATAAAGTAACATAATGAAGGTGATATCATCCAGAGGAGATATTTTGGTAGACCGCTTTCCATGATGATTTCCAACTAATGCTGATTGATCTGGAAGAGCCTAACTCAGGGGTAGGCAACCTTGGCTCTTTTATGACTCATGTACTTCAACTCCCAGAATTCCTGAGCCAGCCATGCTGAGGAGAAATGGAGCCAGCCATGCTCAGGAATTCTGGGAGTTGAAGTCCATGAGTTATAAAAGAGTCAAGATTGCCTACCCCTGGCCTGATACTCAGATGAGAGATAGCCATGAACCTCTGGGTTGTAAGCTAGAGTTGGAAGTTTTAAATAATCCTGAAAAAAGTAGTGACAAACCAATTCCATTTCACTGCCAAGAAAACAGCATGACTATGTTTGTGAAGTCTCCAAGGATTGAGCTCAGTTTGAAAGAGATTTGTGTCTTCTAAGTATACTGGACTTCAATCTACACAATAGCCTTTGGCAGTGATACTTAGGGATTATGGGAACTGATGTTAACACATTTGGGGGGTTTGTAGTGGGATGGACAGACATAGCAAACATCTGTTTTCCCAAATATTACTGTTTCATAACCTAAGTGATACTACTTCTTCTGTGTTAGGATCCCATGCTACTGAACTAAATCTAGGTGAATTACTTATAAGCCCACATTATGACAAGGTTTCTGCTTCCTACAACATGTTTACCATTCACATTCTAGTATCATCTGTTTAAAGAAAGCAGCTGGAGCAGACTGCCTATGAGGAAAGGTTGCAACACTTGGGGTTTTTTAGTCTCAGTCAGGTGAACATGAGTGAACATGATTGAAGGGTACCATGCAAGGTGTGGATAAAATGGACAAAGAGAAGCTCCTTTCCTTTTTCCAAAATACTAGAACAAGAAGTTGCCCAATGAAATTGAATACTGGAAGAACTAGAATAGACAAAAGGAAAACATTTTTGTACACAATGCATAATTAAACTTTGGAATCTGTTGGCATAAGATGTGATGCTGGCTACTAGCTTGGCTGGCTTCAAAAACAGGTTGAACTAATTCATGGAAATTATGAAGATCAAAAGCTAATACCTTTGATGGCAATACAAACCCTCCAGTAACTGCCTCTGAAGACCATCTGCTGAGAGACTAGTAGGATTCTTGGTCACTGTGAGAATAGACTGCTGGACTAGATGGGCTAGGGATCCATTGCTGCAGGTCCATTCTTCAGTTTTTATTATAAATAATTACAACTAGCAAATAAGTATCCTTATAAACAACACTGCTCACTTTGTTTCGCTTCAGTGTATTGTGCAGAATAAAACACCATCTTATGAAACTGCCTCTGATAATTGTATGAATTTCCAGTAGGTTGTTTCATTTAATCTTGGCTCCCTGCAAAATGCCTTGGCTTATTCCAACTATGAAAGTTAAACTGATCTGGTGGAATTTAGCTAACAGCTCGATGAAAGTTATATGAGAATATGTTATTACAGTTCTTTGCTCCTTTGTAATCTAACCCTCTCTTTGGTTAGCTGAAGACCTGTCATGCACTGGCTTTGTATCTGAAAAAATATGAGACTGAGCAAGCTCTCCTGTTACTGACAACTACTTACTTAAACTTCACATTTTACTTGCCTTTAGTTGATTCTGTTGGCTAATCAAATCCTAATTAAGAGACAATTTTTCCCAAGACCAAGCTGTACAATGCAATTCAATAAATACAACTGTATCTGGTAATTAAATGCTAACACCTGTCAAAATGAGTTTCTTATGTTTGTGAAGAAATCAGTTCAGATTAATTGGAAGGAATTGCATGATCACAGTTAGATGCACACACCCCTGCTGCCCTTGCATTTCTTTTATCTAAAAAGAAATATCCAGGAAGCATTTTGAAATATCAAATCACTGTCATGTCTAGTACAATAATGGCTGAAACTTGGCTTTGCTAAAAGAGGGTGGGGAGCAACCAAAGATAGTATTGGAATAGGTTATGTTATAAGCAGCAGTAACCACGGAGTTAGCCTTGTATTTTGAACATGTATATATTGAACTATGTGCCAAATACAAACACTTGTAATGAAATCCTGATGCTTCATTCCTTAATGAATTCCTGTCAGATTTGTTTCCAGCTCAGTTCAGCTTAGAAGAAAGAATTGTTGTGGAAATAGAATACCAAACTCTTCCCTGACCTATTGCTACCAGAATAACAGAGTTGGAAGGGACCTTGGAGGTCTTCTAGTCCAACCCCCTAGTCAAGCAGGAGACCCTATGCCATTTCAGACAAATGGTTATTCAATCTCTTCTTGAAAATCTCCATTAATAGAGCACTCACAATTTCTGAAGGCAAGTTGCCCCACTGAGGGCAGGAAATTTCTCCTTATTTCTAGGTTGGTTTTCTCCTTGGTTAGTTTCTATCCATTGCTTCTTGTCTTGCCTTCAGGTGCTTTGGTTAATAGGTTGATCCCCTGTTCTTTGTGGCAACCCTTTAGATCAGTGGTGGTGATCACGGGTGCCAGAGGCGGCACTCAGAGTCCTCTCTGTGGGCACTCGTGCCGTCACCCCAGTCCTAGGCCTTCAGCTGGGTTTTATAAAATCTTTTCGCTTTAGGCCTCCGCCTCCGTGTGCAAAAAAAAAAAAAAAGGTTCAATCAGTCAATTTCAACTTCTCCCAGAAAAAAAAGATCTTGCAAAGTTGGAATTGATTGATTGAACTTTTTAGTCCCACCCAGTCTGCCGTTACCACCGCAGCCATGCCCACCCAATTGGCCACGCCCACCCAATTGGCCACACCCAGGCAATGGGCCACACCCACCCAGCACTTGACGATGCATAAGTGGGGTCTGGGTTGCAGTTTGGGCACTCGGTCTCTAAAAGGTTCGCCATCACTGCTTTAGTTATTGGAACACTGCTATCATGTCACCACTACTCCTTGTTTTCATTAAACTAGGCATATCCAGTTCCTGCATTCACTCTTCATATATTTTATCTTCCAGTCTCCTAATCATCTTTGTTGGTCTTCTTTGTACTCGTTTTAGAGTCTCAACATCTTTTTTATATCGTAGCGACCAAAACTGGATACAATACTGCTAGTATGGTCTTACCTAGGCATTATAAAGTGAAACTAACACTTCACATGCTCTTGGTTCTATCCCTTTGGTCTTGATTCTATCCCTGTCTTTATTTTGTACCCTTCTCTTAAAGTTTCACATGAATAAACTCTGCAAATGTTAAATTGGGCTTTATTTAATCATTGTTTATTGAATAAATTGCAATTGGTTCATATATTTTACTAAACCATGAACCATAGTTTAAGCCTTGTCAGAGGATCTTGATTTACCATTTCTCTAAACACACAATGGCTGCAAAGAGTTAAAAGGGAATGATATGCTTGGAGAAACCCTGTGTCACATAGCAACAAAAATGTTTCACTATAAAATAAACACATAATTTCTTGGTACTTTGTCTCCTATTATAGAAGGTCTCCAAGTACGGTACGCAAAAGGTAGCCAAACAAAGATGTGCCAGAAATAAAATAATGCTTTCAGCAGAGAATGCAGAAATGAGTTTCAGCTAAACAGATAAGGAAATTGATGGCTAAGTGGGGATATATTCAAGGCAATAAATTGTTAGGAAGGAGGAGTGGTCATATGGGGCCAGAAAGACAGGTGTTAAAATTAATAGGAGAATTAGGATGAACTTGAATAAAAAGTGAATGTCTGAGTAGATAGAAAGGTGATTGTGAAAATGTAGAACAATCAGCATAAAAATGTTTGACATTTGCCACTACCTTACCTTATTGTTGCTTTCTGAGTTGTCCTGATTGGTTAAATAGTCTTCATTACTGTTTATTAACAGAGTTGACCCATTCCAAACTGCATGTCTTGCAGTTTTTAAATCCAGTTTCAAGCCCTCTATCTGACTTGAAACTGGATTTAAAAACTGCAAGACATGCAGTTTGGAATGGGTCAACTCTGTTAACAAACAATAACGAAGACTATTTAACAAATTAGGACAACTCAGAAAGCAACAATAAGGTAAGGTAGTGGCATTCCAATCAGCTTACTTCATATGCTAGGTTCATATCAGAAAATATAAGAAATTTATAAAATGTTTCTAAAATTTTTGCCAGAAAATGTTTTTCCTCAATCTTCAGTAAATTGTAGCTGTACATAATAAACTTCTAAGCAAGTCCTGATACTGAAAACAACTGTCAGGAGCAACCATATCATACATAAGCCTTGGAATGTAGTTTTAATCCTTCCTGTAGTGTAGGAGGAGTGGCAGAACCTGGAGGAAGAGTCAAAAGAGGAATCAGCCTAGAATCTCTATGTAGCCACAAATGGACTGCGTTCAATTCCTTTTTAATTCTGTTCACCTTATCTAGTACCAAAATAGTATGAACCATTAGTTGATTCCTGTGCATATATGTGGTCCTGATCTTCCATACCTAACATTTCCATACTTTAAGCCTTCTGCAACTTCAAATTGGTTGGTAAAATTGGAGACTGCAGTCCCAAAATTGCTGCAAGGTACCTCTTTAGATGAATTCACTTTTTTAAAGCTTTTGGCAATGAAACTCGCTGAATAGTTAAAGCTGCTGTATCAAAATACATCCCTTCTAGTTTATAAAACTGGAAAATCTATTTAAACTGAGGATACATTTCACAAACCTGTGGCCATATTTTGATTTTTTTTCAAAGTAAACTAACAGTTAAGGAGTTGCCTATATAAGGACATGTGTGCATTAAATCTGGTTTGGCTCATCAACTTTCTGCAGCTATGAAAGTACTACTTCAAATTCAAAAGACAAACGTTGAAGTAAAATAAGAGACTCCAGGGAAGCCTGCTGAAAGGGGAAATTTTAGCTTGAATTAGTCATTAAAGAGTCACTTGTCCAGATCCAGATCCTTTTACTGGATTTAAGAAGCCATCAAGATGCTGAGAGGCATTAACGTTCCTCTTCACGCACACCAGTCTGCAAAAATAATGTAAATGATACAGTCTCCATGGGGATCACACATTTCGGATGGCAGGTTGCCCAGCCCTACTACAGCCCTTTGGATGGCTTTCCCATTGAGCTGTCACTTCAAAGAGCCAATGATTTACCATGGCCAAGGGAGAAACTTATTAAGACAGGGTAGTAAGGGCTCCAGCAGGTTTCTGCAACAAGCCTGAGCAAGCTTTAACAAGATAACAGTATTAAAAGCCTTTGCAATCTGCTGTAGGTCTTAGATCCAGCAAAGCTCACCTGCCAGGAAGCCTACTAGCCTCTAGTCTGTATTGCTTCCAGGTATGTTACTTATTATTTTAGCATATACACCGCCTTTCTATCCATAGGGTACTCAAGATGGTTACAGTAGTAGCCAAAATTACAATATAAATAATTAAATCACAGGAAACAGCTAGAATAAGATTATGCTTGCATACCATATGAATCATGGTTCCACTATGATTAAGATAGTATTCCCTAATTGCAAAATAAATAAATCAAATTCCTAGTATCAATAGAATTTATTTAAATACTTAACCCATACTATTTACAAAACAGAATATTTAAAAAATTTATTCCAATATTATAAATATTAGTCTTTAAAATAATTTAAAATTGAATTTTTAAGAATATTGGTAACATTAAGACTTTACCTATTTCTATATGGCAGTGATGTTTATTACAACAAGAGTGACGATGCATTCTTGATTTCTTTTATTTGGCTTTTATCAAGTGTTTTGCAATTTAAATAATTAAAGGAAGCTTATCAAATATTTGGCTGTTATTCTTCTCTCACCGGCTTTATGATTTTAGCAGTAGCCTATTTATTCCAGGCTTGTTTTATTTTTTAATCATAAACATTTTTCATAATGATAGAGAATTAGAACACCAAGATTATCAAGATAGGAGAAAATATATATGAACAAATGAGTATATCACATAATTTCATTTTGTAATGTAATTTTATATAACGAAGATAAATCAAGGTTTTGTTTGCTTTATTTGGAGTGCTTTTCAAAATATTCAGTCCATTAGAGTTGGGTAGCTAATAATAAATAAGTAAATAAGTCTAATAATAGGAGATGTAACAGTAATTCCTTCAATTTTATTAATGGACATATAGTGAAAAATAATTCCACAAAAGAAGTCTACTACATTTAATACAATTAAGGATATATATTTTTGCGTACATATATAAAGAAGAATGAGTTCTGGGAAAATAGGTTTCAGAAAGAAATCATTTATAACTATGTGCCTCTTTTCTTTTCTAGGATTTTACTGCTGTGGTATGGTAGATTGGCCTCTGGCAACATCCCAGGAAACTTTCAATTAGGTAATGGATTCAGAAGATACTGATTCTACCCATCCAAAGAGAGGATCACTGCCTCTCCACCAAAGCTCCCAGCCTTCAGATATGGCACCCAGACCATTACTGCCTCTGCAGAGTATTGAAGGGAAAGGCCCCTTCCCGCCATCCCGGAGAAGCTCCATTATGAGCATCCTCAATGCCCCATTTTCAAGTAGGAGAAATTCATTTGCTGCTGGAGGAAGGCGTCTTTCTATTGGGCCCTGGATGCATTCTGGTCGAGTAAGCTTTTCTGGGCTACCACTCTTTGAACCCATTCAGGAGACACACTATGAGAACACCTACAAGATCCAGCCAGATAAAGGTTACAGATTTAATTCCTCACGCACACAGCAGATTCTTGAGTCAGTTCTGGACAGCTACTTTAGTGATGTCAAATACAATCCTGCAAATAGTGGGCAGTTGGTCCAAAACCTGTCAGATCTCGTCAGGAGCAGGGTCAAAGAACTAACTCCACCACGCTACAAACTTGTGTGTAATGTCTTTCTGGGCCAGCTGGCCAACCAAGGCTTGCACATTGCTAGTCGGTCCCTCTGGGATGTGGAGAATGATAGCGTTGCTTCAGCCACTTTCACAAATTCATCGCTTTTTGCTGTAGTCACAGTACATGGACTGTATTATGAATGAGTCAGGCTTCTAAAGATTAACTTCCCTTTCTCCTAATTTTATCTTGCTAGAGATTATGGTCTGAGAGGTCCTTGGCATTCTCTGAGCTTGCTTGTTTTCTTGCAAACATTTGATTACTCTAACTAGGTAGACTAGCATTGATGATGTTACCTAGTTAGGGTAATGAAATGTTTGCAACAAAGCAAGCAAGCTCAGAGAGCACCAACCCTGAGCTACAAATATTCTCCTTCATTAGATTATGGTCTGTCAGATCTAGGTATGTATCTGGACATAGTTTAAAGTAACAAGAGAGTGTGCAAAATATATATGCTAAAATAATAGAGTAGCAATAGATATAACTATGAAATCTGCTCCAGTGGGAGCTGGTGGTCAATCTAACTCCTTAAGAGTCCTTTTGTTAAATTTGCAGTTAGAATTGTTTGGTTATGTCTTTGCTTGTACAAACAGTTATGTAACTTCCTTTTCCAAAAAAATAAACCCATTGCTCTTCCTTGAGCAAAGAGGATCTTTCAAAACAAGATTATGTTAAAGCACGGGTGTCAAACCCGCACATCACGTGACGTGTCACTACGTATGGTAACTTTTTTTGTGGCCTCTGTATGATGCAAGCAGCCCGCGGGCCGGCAGTTTGACACCCCTGTGTTAAAGGATGTCCAAAATATAGCTGTATAAGTATTTGCTGGATTTGCGACATACTGCAAGTGAAATACCAAAATATCAAAAGGCCTCTGCCGGCACCAAGACTTTTAAAAACCTTGAGAATGTTTGAGACATAGAAACACACTTTCTTGTCACTGCATCCTACGTCAATGTAACTTTTTCCATTGAGGTCAAAAACCTAATACTGTCAACACAAATATGGGAAAACCCCAACACATTCTTGACTTAACTCTTGAAATTATAACTGATTAGCTTTACTGCTTTGAAAGAAAAAGGACAACATAGCCAAATATTAATAATAATGGCAGTTATGCTTTAACACATTGGGTGAACACTAATTTAGGGAAAGCTATGCATCAAATATGAATTTGCCATCTCTGTCAACTTTGCTAAATGGGAGTAGTGATGTCCAAACTATTAGCACCTATTAACTAGAAATGAACATGCTGAATGTAATGCTGAAGAGGTCATATGGAGATTACTCTCCCTACATAAAATTACTTAACTCCACCTGATTGACTATTGAAAGAAAGGATTTTAGTTACCAAGGAATGTTACCAAAAATGGCAGTAAGATTCTGCCTTGCCACTGCACTGTTTTCCATTCTAACTGATAGCGCATTTTAATCTTTAAGTCTGTAAGAGTTAAGACCACTTTACCATAAAAAAACACAAGTCCCTTTATCACCTCAGACCTTATATAGACCAGTTCATGCTGTCAACTTGCCCTTGACGTAATTTCCTATGAAAGACTTGTCTCTTATTTTCTAAGTATAATTAAATTAAAGTAATTAAATTTAATTAAACCTAATGTTTATTTTCACAGAACTTAAACACCTATAATTGTTAAAATATCTTTGCTATTGCTAGAAGTTGTTTTAATTCTGTTGATAGAATTGTTTACATTGCCTATTAGAATGTAGGTTATTGTGCACATTTTGTCAGGTATTACTTCAAACACACAATTGAGTGATAAATTCTGATAAAAAATACTAACATTATGCATTAAAGCCAAAACCCATCAGATATTCTAGGTCTGTAATATCTGGCTTCTGAGTTACAAAGTATAAATTTTATAAAAAAACCCTATTCTGGTTGTTCAGTAAAGCTACCCAAATAGCTTTATTGCACTCTATTCAGAGGGCAATAAAGCATAAAAAGAGATTAGAAAAGGGTGCAAGTATCTCAAAGTATCTTTCAAATATCTGAAAGTTTGGACATCAGGTTTTCTGTGCTGGAAGTATAAAAAGTGTGAGGTTTCATTAACCCATGGGATACGGTCATGTATTCCTTTGAAAATGGGAAAGCTTGAGTTCTAATCCTGAATTGGGCACGAAGCCAGCTGGGTGACTTTGGGCCAATCACATTCCCTCAGATCTAGGAAAGAGGCAATGGCAAACCACTTCTCAAAAACTTGCCAAGAAAATTGCAGGGACTTGTCCAGGCAGTCCGAGTGTTATACATGATTGAACGAAAAAAATAAAAAACTATGTCCATAAATAGGTTTACTGGAAAATCTTCATATGATAAAGATATTAATGCGATGTTGTACTAAGCTTTAGAATCTGTTCATCAGGAATTATGATTGTACCAAGAATGGAGAGTGGCTAAAAGAATCATATTGAGAAATTGGAAACATTATTCCAGATGTTTAGTGGTTGTCAGAAATATGTGATCTGTTTTAGAAAAGGTAGAATTTTCTACTGATCAAAGGATGCAGCTATATGTGTTACTATGGCAGAGATTTTGAGATATTTTACATGTTGTACTGGTTATATTAATGTGTTAGTAAAAGTTGGCTTGAAACTCCACATTAAGAAAACCAAGATCATGGCATATGACCCTCTAAATTCGTGGCAAGTAGATGGGGAAAAAATGGAGGTAGTGACAGATTTTATCTTCCTGGACTCCAAGATCACCACAAATGGGGACTGCAGAAATTAAAAGATGCTTGCTCCTGGCGAGGAAAGCTGTGGCAAATCTATACAGCATACTAAAAAGCAGAGACAACACCCTGCCAACAAAAGTGTGTATAGTCAAGGCCATAGTTTTCCCAGTTGCAATGTATGGCTGTGAAGGTTGGACCATAAGAAAGGCTGAGCAACAAAGAATTGAGGCCTTTGAACTATGGTGCTGGAGAAGACTCCTGCGAGTACCCCGGACTGCAAGGCGATCAAACCGGTCAGTCCTAGAGGAGATCAATCCTGACTGCTCTTTAGAAGGCCAGATCCTGAAGTTGAAACTCAAGTACTTTGGCCACCTAATGAGAAGGAAGGACTCACTGGAAAAGGGCCTAATGCTGGGAAAGATGGAGGGCAATAGAAGAAGGGGACGACAGAGAATGAGGTGGCTGTATGGTCACTGAAGCAGTAGGCGTGACTGGACTCCAGATGGTAGGGGACAGGAAGGCCTGGAGGAACATTGTTCATGGGGTCGCGATGGGTCGGACACGACTTCGCAGCTAACAACAAAAAATCTGTTGATAAGTATTAAATATAAGATTTTTTTCTTTTTCATAATTGCATTCTTTGAGTTTGCGTCATTACTATTTCTTTAAGAGAAAAGATTATTTTGTTAATTGGGTATTTAAAAAATAAATAAAAATTATCTAGAAAGAGGGCAAGAATCTCCAATGTGTTTACACGACAGGGCGAGAACCTAATCAAAGTAATTGATCACCTAAATTCCTCTGATGACCCATTGCCAGGCAAACTCAAGAAGCTCAGGGGGGGGTTGGGATTTCCCCAGGTTGGCCACACACTTGGCCCTGGAGGCACATGTGACCCCTTCACAGCCAGCCTTCCTCAAAATGGTTAAAATAATCTTGCTCAGATCTGCTTTTGAATTTTAAGGCTATTTATTTTCGAGTTGTTCATTTCATCTGGGATTTTATCTCACTGATCCAAGTTTGATAATAGATATTTTTGTGCTATGCTTTTCATGGGAATTGGCTATAAACTGGCATCTTTCAGGATATGCAGTATAAAAATGAATATACTGCAATCAATAAACAGTAAATGTCTTTTGTCAGCGTCTCTGGATAATAGGCAGAATGCCAGGAGCATGAAAATTGTTTGGAAACACAGAACACCCAATCTGTCCACCACGCAGATGTTTGTTTTCTAAGTTTCTCTGTATCAAAATACTGATGTAAAACATTTTTTGTGAAGAGCATACAGCATATTATAGCATGTGAGAATGTGAAATTACTGCCCTAAAGAAATCTGTGTGCTCATCTGCCTTTCTCCAAGTTCCACAGAGTCAACTGGTTGCCACAAGACACTGTTTTGACACAAAATAAGTATTTCTCTGCTTTTATTAAAAATGTGTTTATTATAATCAAACTGCTGCATTTTGGGAAATATGGTGTGCGTGATTGATAGGACATGTGCAAATAAATAGTTGGCATAAATACATAAATAAGGTTCTTTGATGTTCACACCATGTAGGCCCCACAGCTGAACAGTCTGTCAGGTTCAAAACTTCAAGTGGGCAGCTTCTATTTAAGCTGTTCAAGTCTGTACCAATTTATGAGATCCCCTGCTGTACCCTGGACCGAAAAGCAGCCAAGAAATTGAAGCAAGCAGGTCATTCACAGTTTCAGCAAAAAGGCATCCCATTTGCTTAATTAGTGTAATAGTTATATTACCCAACATGTCCTTTCATAGCTTCAAGTACTTCGCAGTAACACCAAAATTGATCCAGATTTTAAGGCTGAACATTCAATGGTCTATTAACCAGTCCTTCCAAATTTGGAGGGGTTCTTCTCTACCAGTTCTAGAGGACAGGCAATTGGCACTCTAGCCAACTAAAGTGGCTCAAGCATTTGTGTTTGAACTATATTATAGCTGGAACAAGAAGCTGTTTATCTGCTTTCACAGTAGAGAAGTGAGCCATGCCACAACTGCTTCCTTGCATAAGCTTTTTTCTTCTCTAGATAGCCACACCCAATTCACAGCTTTGGTCCATGAGTCAGAGCCAAGTGAAGCTTGGGTAGAAATGCAACTCCCAGCGGTGTTATGCCAGTTTCCTGAGCAGATGATGGTAGTGTTGCAAGGATTTGAGACAACACATAAGTAAAGCCACCAATTTCTATATTTGTATTCCTCTTTCCATCCGGTACACCACTTTCCACACCAAATATCTAGTATCAGGCATTAGACTAAAAGCCTAGAAACCATCATAAAAAATATTTGTACTTTTTTCCTTACCCTGCATTGTTCCCTGTACATAGTGTATGGAGCATAATTTCTCCACCCTTTCTACCCAGTGACACCATGTGCATAACTAATTATGCAATGATTGCACAGACATAAAACTTAAGGCATCTATCCCTGCACCATTCTCCTGTGAACTGAAGCATTCACATCAAGATGATTTTTTTTAAAAAAAAAAAAAAAAACCAAACACAATGATGCAAGGGATCCAGAAGTGGGTGAATCCTGAGGAGTGGTTCGGAGCTACAGATGTGTACAGATTTGAAGTTTTCCTTTTTAGAAAATTAGACATCGGAATGTTTTCACTATGGCTGCCTAGAGTTGCCAGCCTTTATGTTATTAACATATCCCTCCTTGGAGTAATGGGTGTTCCGGTGAGACTACACCAGTTGCAGCCTTAAGCATCTGCTCGCTGTAGCAGTAGTTTGAGAATATACTTGAGCCGATGTTGAAGTTCTGGTGAACAACCCAGTTCTGCGATGCTGCTCAGCTTGTAAGTATAGGAATTCCTGTCACGGTTTATGTAGGTAAGGAGGCAGGAGTGGTCAGGTTTGCTGAAAATCACCTTGGTATGATCGTTGTAAAAGTTCACCTATTAAAAAAAAAGACAGCACAATCC